AATTAAGATATCTAAACAATTTATGATATTAATATGGATATTTTCCTAGAAAAAGAGAGAAAGTATAATTTATTTACAGAGTTAATTTCATATTTCTGGCAAAACGTGTTTTTACTTTAGAAATCAATGATAAATGGAAAACATTAATTTTTAAGCAATCATCCTTTCGTGATCAAAAACCTTTTAGACAGGTATTTATTAATTGATATTTCAAAAAAAAACTCATGTCAAAGCTTTCATTATTTCACTGTTTTACGGGAAAAAAGACCTTGAGCACGATGAGAATGCTAATTTTCACAATATGAACTTTACCATTAAGTCAACTGAACGGTAACAAAAAGGTGACTAAATGGCAAAGCTCTTTCATTTTGTCAACTTTCAGTAGACTGACGTCACTATTCAGTCACCATTCAGTAGATTGACGTCACCATTCAGTCACCATCCAGTGTATATCCAATATTTAACGAGACTACAATAGCGAAATTGCACCAAATTGTACTTTTATGTTTTATTTTACAAAAATACAATATACGGAAAGATTTAATGGTCATTTTTTGGAATCAATAAAAAATTAATATTCATTGCTGTTTAAGGTCCCAAGTCAACAACTTAAAAAAAAACCGGAACTTTAAAAACATGAGAGGTGGGATCAGATGCCATGGAGGAATAAACATCCTCTGTCAAAAAAATGTTCCTTGTCATGGTCGGGTAAACGGAAACATCTGTTGGAATTTCAGTCTGTAAAAAACTCTAACAAAAGGTATAAAAAGGTCTGTCAGCATTTAACCTAATGAAAGATTGCATTGCTGATGATTTCATTATATATACCATATATAAAACTTGGGAAATGATGATTTGAAACGAGATTATAGATATTTTTGTATCATCCACTTTTTTTTTTGTCTATGACTTGCCTCATTTTAGAAATATTTCGTACGTTAAGCATGATTTTGTGTATGTAGTCAATATAGGGACATAAGCTCACTATTAAGGTAAAAAGGGTATATTGCTACAGGAGTAAGGAAAGTTGACGAAAGAGAAGTTGAAGTCATCACGTTTTCGCAAATTATCTAATATACAAGAATACTGGTAGATATGGGTTACCCCATATCCAAGTATTCGACTCCATGTTTGCATGAAGACTAAATAATCCTTGTGTATTCAACAAAGTACATAATACGGGTTGTGTAACCTTTCCTTTATTGAAAAAGAGAGAGAGAAAAAACACTCTTAAGAATCGACATTCTCTCTCAGAAGAAAATATAAAACAATTAACGAACAATAATCATGAAAGTAATATAATTGATGAAAAGATTTATCATTATCAGTCAAAGACTGACCTATTTTGGTGATAAAGACTGAGGAGGCGGCAAGCGTATGAAGATGAAAACTTTTTATTTGCATTCTGAGGAAAAAGATATTTTCTCAAGTTCTTTTTATGTTAATATTGTATTACATACATGTATACATCATTATTTTCAAAAATGTTGAAATGTTGTATTTTCTTTTCATGAGTGGAACTTATTTTTTAAAGCAATTATGTGAAGAGTGTATTAAAAACAAATGTGTCAGACTCTGTGGTGTCTTTTATTTCAAGTTAACTGGAATACATCGAATAAACATATGAATGGATGTAACAATTGTTAATTGATAACATATTTAATTTTCAATATATGTAAATGCAAAGTCGGACGTCACAGCAAGTGTTTTCTTCTTCTCATGTAGAAATTTTGGAAAACACCGGTTTTATATGAAAACAAAAATTTTTTAAAAAGTCTGCTTTTACCGCTCAATTGATATTTATAGAAATTTCAACAGATTGTTGGAAAATCTTATCTCCAACAACTAAATTAATATTGTTCATCAGAATCTCAAACACATTTTGGTACAGTATCCTTTTCAAAGTACATGTATTTGTGCATCCAATCAGAATTCTTTTATAAAAATCAAATTAGATGAAATAAGTTTGTATTTAGATCCGAATAAGCTAACCTGAAAAAACTAAGAGCATTGAAGCAGGCAGAATTTGCTCTCATGATTTTTTTTTCTTTCGAATTTTAATCATAAATATAGGAAACAGGTTTCGATTACCCTTTAATCTCTCCGCTGTCATCTATACAAAGATATTTTTACATTCGATAAAGATATTATAAACTTACTAAAAAGTTGTGTTTTTTTTTAAGATTCTGTATGTCTTAATAGAAATTGAGAATATATCATTGAATTATCAAGCATATGGAATGATTCAAGCAACATTTCATCAAATTCAATCATTATATTTCCCTTTTATCTTTAAATTGCATAACTTTGAAAATTCTTGGTAAAATTATCCTATGTAATTTATTTCCATTGGTTTCTGCTGCATTCTATTACATGTAAAAATACAATTAACAAATTCTAGCTGAATCATTTAATTATAGGAAAAATAGAATTTATTTTGCTTCAAACAATTCTTTAAAATTAAAGTTTTTCTTTTAGAAGAGAGGGGAGGATACGGTCGTACCAGGAGCATCCCCTTCCTGATGGTCTTTATGATATGGATGTATGAGTACTTCAACTACAACACTAAACATGCTAGAATAAGATAGATAATCACTCGTTTTATACAGCGAAAGAAAAAATGCAATTCTATAGTGTATGTTTCATTATTTCTTGAAGGGTTAATGTATATAGATGTACACACATCTTATGTAAATTCGTCTAACATAATTTTGAATATGAGTTAGTTTATGATGTGTATCCATCGAAAGTTAGATAAATCGTTTAAGGGGGATGGGGGTGGTAATCAATATTTTTTTCACTTTAGTACAGACGCATGTCTAAAAAAAAATTGAAAGGTTATCAAGTGCTATTCAAAAATGTACATTTAGAGCAAATGATCTTACTTTGCATCTGTATACAGATCTTAGTAAAATGGATGCTTTCACATACAAAAACTTATTAAGATGAAAGATTTCCACTGATTTAAAAAAATAAATTAATGCATTTCAGTTAAACTAATTTATATTAATTCGTGAAATGCACTCTGACATACTTATAGTCCTCAAATTTCACCGAAGTAAAATGTATGATCCTTTTGTACAAAGTCGTAGCAAGCTTTATGCGATGGTCTCAACATGCAAAATTGTATTTTATGAAAGCAAAGTTTTTTTTTTATTTTGAAAGTTTTACAGGTAATTTTGATTGTGATTTTCCTTATTTCTATAATTACAAAAGTTATATTTCTTTATTCACTTTAACGACTTTTACTTTAACTAGAAAATCGGTAGTCAGAAGAAAACATTTCTTGGCACAATAAATGATAATATTTTACTGTAGTATATTCGACGGTACCTAACACGACTTCGGAAGTCATCTCGTCAAATGCAACAACTCATTGAAAGTCAGGTGTTAGAAAGAAAAGACTCTCTGAAGTGACAAGTCACAGAAAGATGGATGACGACAACATAACTTTCCGTATAAAATTGAAATTATTAAACTTTTTAAAGAAAATAGTACTTAGTCATTCTCATTTAATTAAGTCATGACCGAAAGAGGTTTTGATTTCAACTTTATTGCGCTTCAAAGGAATGAAAACAAAAACACATATCATGGTTTCTTATTTATTGTTCGATAAGAAAAAGTTCTAAAAATCTAGAGATTGCTAATAATATAAATAAAATATATCAGAAAATGTTCTTTGTATAAATTTGTGAACTGTCCATTTCTTAAACTGACCATTCTAAGAGTAGTCTTTTCTGTCATGTATCAGAGACCATATAGACGCAAGTCTGAAAAATACAAGGTTATAAAGTGCTTCTGTGATATACATTTATAGCAGCTGAGGTGACTCTTAGTTGAATAGATACTTCAGAATACCTTGACATCAAGATAAAAGATTTATTCTGAAAATTAAGAAAATATATCAATAAGTGTCAACTTTACTGGGTTACATTTCGTGAAATGCACTCTATCATACTTTTAGTCTTAAGATCGCATCTAAGTCCAACTTATGACTATACTAAAGTCAAAAACTTTGCAAGCTCCATGTTACGAGCCCCGGGGTGTTTTGACAATTCAAAGGATTTTCATTCAATAAAATATTTTATACGTTGTAATATTTATTATTATTTTTATTTTTTTTTTTTTATTATTTCTGGAATTTCAAAATCATAATCACATTTTTTATGTTCTGTATTGCTTTATGTTTAATATGTATTTCTTGTCCATTTGAGTGTTACAAATTATGCTCGTCTCTATGTTATGCCCCCAGTGGGAACATGATTGGCAAAACAATTCTATTTTATTCTATTTAGCATCTTTAATGATTTTAACTTGAAATTTGAAAGTGAAAATAATGAAATTTTTGGGGCACAATAAACCATTACCTCCCATTATAGTACTCGTAAACGCACGTCTAAAAAATCCAAGGTTATTAAGTGGTTTTTTCATGTATATTTAGCGGGACTGAAATGCATTTATATCAATCATCTTAGTAAAATACTACATGTTGTACTTGTCACCGAGATGAGAATCATTCTGAAAAATAAAAAATAAAAATGCACGATCAATGCATGTCAGATAAACTGGGTTACATTCGTTAAATGTACTCTTGCATACTAAGTTCCAGGTTATAAAATCATAACATTTTAAATGACTTTTCTTTAGATGTTTCTTTATAATTTTTATCATATCTTGAATTTCAACATAGTACTTTTATAGTGTCTGAACGGAGTTGTGACTGATAATAACACAAAAATAAAAGATATTGAGTTTCTATGAAAGCGTTACAAAATAGCAAACTTATTTAAAACCCTGACGTTCCGATTGAACGATAACAAACCAAACACCTGTCATTCAAGTCCCTTCATTTGGAGGCTGGGAGTAAGTCGCAAAAGAAGGCGTGACAAGCTATTCACACGTTTCTGAATGGGCACGGCGTCCGAGCTTGAGCGACAACAGGAGCAGTAAATAATATGTAAATGTGTTATCTTGTTAACACATAAAATGATTGGCTCTAGAAGAATTTGTTTAAATTGTAGCGGACAATTAGATCCTACCAAGTGCTAGATGATTGATAGAGCAGGAATTAAAAGACTTTTGATCTCTTCATATTTCTCAAAATTATTTGTCATCTCGAATACGTCGGGTGCAATTATACTTTCATCCGAGGAAGGAAGAAGGGGAAAAGCGGTGACAATTAATACTTATTAAACGTGTACTTTTAAAAAGGCCACACGGTTGTGTTAATAACAAAAAATATTGACTGGGAAGAATACAGAAGAATAAAAGGAAATTTTTTATATTCTAAATTTTTAGAATATGTCCAGTTGTGATGAAATGAGCCCACAGGATCTGTCTTCAAGAGGGGACCCTTGTGATTATGGCGATCCCTCAAAGCTCGGTGGCAGCGGAGGAGATCATGTCAAGAGGCCCATGAACGCTTTTATGGTTTGGTCCCGAGGACAACGAAGAAAGATGGCACAGGATAATCCTAAAATGCATAATTCGGAAATCAGTAAACGACTCGGTGCCGAGTGGAAATTGCTCTCGGAAGAGGATAAACGACCATTTATCGATGAAGCCAAGAGACTTCGTGCTCTTCATATGAAAGAACATCCGGATTATAAATATCGTCCCAGAAGGAAGCCCAAGTCTTTGCTCAAAAAGGACAAATATCCGTTCCCTATGGCCATGCCAATGATTCCTGGAATTAGTCCTCTGAATGGCTTACCCCCGGGATTCGGTTCCATGGCTTCTGCATCAGAAGGTATGTCTCTGGAGAAAATGAGGGCATATTTGCCCCCTACATCTTCTCACACTCCATTTAGTCATATGGAGGGAAGTGGTAAATTAGACAATAGCGTTAGTTCCCTCAGTGCCCAGGATAGACTTTATTCCCCATACTTATCTGCGTTAAATGCCCACTCTTCGTCAGCAGCCGCCGCCCTGAGCGGCATGCCTCCAGCCGCCCATTCTCATCCTGGGCAGTATCTTCTACCGTATTGCCCACCAAGCTATATGCCCTCGCAAAGTGACATTTCTCGTCCAGTGGCGTATGTGTTTGTAAAACCTGAAGATCATTACAATCGACATCCTGCCATGATCTGATGTTTCCAACCTACTGTGATGTCTTTTTATGCGTGTTCATCGTATGTGCTAGTGGGAAAAAAAAGTGGACATAATTCTTAACATGATCTCTGTACCGTTCCAAACGGACTCTTTTGTAAGAAAGAAGTGCTAGACTTTAGAACTTAAAAAAAAAGACATGGTTCTGGTAGGAATCAGTTATGTAATATTGGTGCTTGATTACAAAGTAACAAGTTGATTTTCTTTTTTATATAAAATATTACGTGGTGTATGTACTTTTCAATTATATAGCTTTATTTTACCAATAGGTTGTTTTTACATTGACTGTTACAGTGGCATTTATATTGCTGTGTTTTATATGTATGATCGAGCTTTTTGTGGATATATACATGTATATGATTGTTAAAGGTTTAATACAGATGAAAAATTGATAAAGATATTTGAGACATTTTAAAAATCTAATCTTTAAAATATTTTAATATTGTTTTATTTAAATGTTTACGTCTAGAAAACAACAAAAAGGAAGACTATTTTCACTCAAATAATATCTGCGTTTGGAATAAGAAGAAAAGAAAAACATTTCTCAACATGTGAAATATATTGCTGTTTAATTTATGTTTTTAAATTTTATTTCAACAAAAAAAAATCGCTTTGTTTCGTTCTTTCGATACAAAATGTAAGTACTAAGTAAGGGGGTATCCTATAATGTTGTTTTCATTTTGCATTCAACTTATTTTGATCATAATTTTATTACGTTTCCATACATTTATATTGCAATCCATCGTGTAATTATTGTTGAACATATAATTATAGCTATAAAAATACAATTTTAAAATTCCATATTTTTCATTTCTTTTGTATTCGCTGATATTCTTTACTGCGCTTACAATTAAGAGACCATATTTTTAGAGTTTAATTGATCTTCGTTCACATAAGAAGGGTGCAAGTTTGATATGTTAACATTGACAAAATACTTACAACAAAATGGCATAGTTTCTAAATTTTGAAAAATTAACATCTTTTTTTTTTTTTTAGATAAATGCTTATCATTAAAATCAGTTTTGATCAGCTATGAATTATTAATATTACTTGCATGTCGCTTTAAATCGTCGACCTTCCGTTTTAATTTGTAATTTGCAGAGTCAATTAAACACTATAATGAAGGGCTGAAAAATTAATAAGAAATAGCAGAAGACGAAGAAAAAGCTTCAAGTTTTCACTTTTCACCATGTATATTAGATTGAATTGATTTAAAATTATATCGTCATTGTTATTAAATTTTGCTGCACGAAACATCGAACATAAACTCATACATCCTTTTGGGCGATAATCAAATGAGATGATGCCTATTCTTAGGTGCAGCTAAACGTTTGATAGAAGTCGATTTTAACGTTCACCTTATGTGACAAAAGGGACGCCAGTTTAGATTTATGATTCTGCATTGTACGACGAAAGCAGGTTTAAAATACCTTGAGATAAATATTGTGAGACAATGACATCTCATGCCGTAACATAGGGGTACTTCAGTTGGCTATTTTTCTTTTTTAAGTACTTGAGCGACCTCCTGCCCTCGACGGAGACGCCATTGTTTGCTCTTTTCAAGCAGCCGACCATTTTTGTACTTGGACTACTTGGATCTTGTCACTTTTGTATTTTTGTGTGAATTATTGAGGGAAAGTCGACTATTCTGATTCAACCATCTTCAGTCTATAAATTGTTTTTCTCTCTCATTTGAGTGCTTCTTCTTCAAGTAGTTTGTTCAGCTCTTTCCCGCCAATTGTTTCGGCAGACGATTTGTGTCGACCTCTTTTGGTACGTAAAGAAGCTAAGCGGGCCCAAAGAAAGGGTAACGAAATTCACACGCCGATTGTGTGTTAATAAATCATAGCTTTTCGATGGCTATATTTTGTATTAAGTTCGCTTGGGTCATCATGCTTCTCTCTTGACATATTTTCAAATATTTCTTAACTATTTGTCACTTTCATTAAGCATGGGGTTTTCTTCTTTAAATATTCTGATACTCGTAGTAATAACGCATATGCATTCATCATTTTGAATATTTGTTGTTTCCCATAAAAATCTGTCATCTTTACCGAAGGGGGGGGGGGGGGGGGGGAGAAAAATGACAATCAATTTTATGAATATATCCGCCTTTTTACCAAATTTAGGCTTTTATAAGCTAAAATGGATTTTAATCAGTGATAACGTTCATAACTAAATTGTTTCAAAAGAAAATGAGTTTTAAAAATTTTACTTTTACAGAATTCACTTTTGATATTTGTAAAAATAATAGCGCATCCCACAAAACTATATTTCGCTTGGAACCGTCAATTGAGTTTTGTTCTCATTAAAATGCTATGAAAGCTTTTGGATTAATTTCATTTTCATTTTAGGACTTTAATGCAATATAAAAGCAAATGTGATTTATTTTAAAAAATGATCACAGGACTGGATTCGAAAGGATACTGGTAGATACAAAGGCGTTATACTTAATACATGAGTTAACAGATTGGTCGGCCACATAATGGAAAATGTTTTTCATCGCTTTTGATTTTTCACAAAGGAAACAATGGCTAACGCGGACGAGAAAGCGATGCATTTATCCAAATTCTTCCGCAAATGACTTTAAAAGCATCCGCATATAAAAGAAACATAATATAAAAATGACTCCGGTATTTATTCGTTTTATCCACTATTATGCTGATAAGAATCAAAGTGACTAAAGAGTCCATCATTGGCTTAGATGGACAATTATATTTGTTTCCAAAATGAATGTAATATTTACCAATGAAAATTCTAATGCAACTTATTTAATTTCAGTATCAGATGTGTATACATGTAATTTGTCTGATTTGCAGTAACTATACAATTTTATAAGAATAGAAAACAAACAGTGTTGACATATGAAAAAATCGTATTTAAAAATCATTTATTTATGGTTTCGATTATAAAAGCTGAAACAAAGATATTCATTTCCAATGATGAAATATTAGATATCATTTTGTTATTTGGTGTGTTCAATAAATCTCTTAATCCTTTGGGAAAATAACGCCTAAATGAAATCAAGAAGTCAATTGAAACAGATCATTTATTTTGCGGTCGGGTTCGATTGGCTCTTCCTGCTTTTGCTGTCAATTTGTTTCTTGATAACGATCTCGATCAGTGAGCACTATGTTTAGATGGAGATATTACGGAAATAAATAGCTAATTATGTAGTATTTGGGAGCTCACATTAATTGTAGTGTGAAGGGTTAAAATCCACATAATTTAACGATGTGAAGAAAATTATAAGGAAATTATAAAGAACAAATAGTTTTGGAAATGATTTATTTTTGTACGATGTTAACAATTTTTGATTTGCCCACCTTAAACTATTTTGGTTTGCCCTCTCCTAACCCGAATTTAAGTTTTCCTTTTTCATACAAACTGTATAAGAAGTATTAAAAACTTTTATTATTTGTTAATTTTTGTTGATCTTTAATAAATCTGGATATCACTATATATCACCAACACGTATACTTTCTTTCAAGTCATTTTTTTTTCAGGTACTGAATGCAGTTCGCATTTATTTATCTTTATTATTAATATTATATATATCATCTCTATCCATGATCTTGAATTTCAATTTTTTGTATACTGATATTTTATAGAACAAGAAGTAGGTACATATTAAAAGTTTTTAAAATTATAAATTCACATACTAATTGTAATTATCGAAAATTTAAAGGAAAAAAGTAAAAGAAAATAACTTGTGAACAATTTTTTGACATAATTATTTAGACAGAATATAGAAAGTTAAAAATTAAAAAATGTTATGCACAATCCTTGGCCTGAAATTGATTGAAAATTGCTTGAAATTTAAGTGCGCTGGCTTATGGTGACACAAATTAGCTGTGTGAGTCAGTTGTACTTGTGTGGGTGAGGGAGGTAGTGAAAGGGTGTGTGTGAGAGAGGGTGTGTCTACCCTTGTTATGTTATCAATTTATATCAATTCAATTCATTGTATTTGTTACCGATGCCCTTGTATGGTGAGGGTATTTATAGGCAGTTTGCCTGTAGCCCAATCTATTCAGCGTTCTGAATAAATATTGTTTAAATCACAAATTAGCTATATAGAATAGGTATAGAAATAGAAATTAGCTATATATGTATATAGAATACTCTTTATTTAGGTTTTATTTCTAAAATAATTTTGCTTTCATCACAACTAGGAATATTTTCCTCGAATTCTTACTCAGTATTAATAAAGTATGTGTGTGTTCTTTTCTAAAAATCCCTTCCCTACATACATATATACTCTGATGAAAAATGACGGTTTGAAAAATGACGCAAAATTTCTTGTTTCACACGATTTAAACACCTGTGTATTATAGTTGCAATTATCAATTCCCAAAGCACATAATGTTACTTATAGCAAAGTCAGTATGATAAATATTCGAAAATGGTACCCTTAAAATGCTTTTCAAAAGAGCGAAAAATTGGTTTGTCAAGTGGATGCAAAATGAAATTACGCCCCATCCCTACCCCAATGAAAAGCTGATATCATGCAATTATCATTCATGTTGAATACTTTCCTTTCATATTATAAAAATTCATATAGCTTGATTCTTACTGTACATGTATGTATAAAAAAAATCATAAAAGCAAAATAAAATTTTAAAACATTGATTCCATTTATTGCACATTAATTATGTGTGCGTGATATTAATATACTTTAAATTGATACACTAGTTTGTTGAATATAGACGTTCTATATTTGCTGAAATTTTTCAAATCGTAGATGATGATGTCATCATGAAAGTTTTATAATTTAGCATACTGGTTATGCCGAATTGTAACTAAAACCCAAAATAACTGTTGATCGAATATCATGTTGAGTTAAGGCAGTGAATGCAAAATATTATACATGCTAAATATAATCGTTTTTGTCGAACAATAGCTTTGAACATAATTACCCTATAATACACATAATTCTTCAAAAACAATTACTGAAAATGTTAGGGGTTGCTTTCATCATTGTTGGTAGACGCAGATAATATTGTTTAAAGAACAATGGCGGTTGATATAAGCTTTGTACCCGCCTCGTGATTGGCAAGCATTTAAAGCCCTCGACTGTTGATACCATCATACATCAATAAAACTACACAATACACTTTAAGTCCCTTCAATATTTTCAATACATTGTTACAGAAAGCTCATAAAATGCTTTTTTTCATTTCGACAAGGATAAATCTAGGAGGGTAAGAAAAGCATTTTCAATTGCCCACGAGTTGAACTTTATTGCAAACATAATTCTCAATGTTGCTTTAATTGCGCTAATGCTATTGTGTTCGTTCTATACAAGTCATCATTGTCGTACAGAAGGTTTTGTTCCAAAGTGTCCTTTCTATTAATTATATGAAAAGAGAATGTTCAAGGAAAAAGGAAATAATAATAGAAGCTCAATAGAAAAGAGCGGTACTATTGAATTCCAAATGACCCATAATAGTAAAGAAGTAAAGCGCTGAGTGACTTTCCTTTGAATTGCATTCTTTTTCTGTACAATGCTTGATAATCTCCTTATCCGAGATTCAATGGGACCAGCGTATCTCATTACAACGGGTAAAAGGACACCCCGCTGTATCCCTATACATTCAAAGCATTCAAACCACAGCTCTTCAATAGTGGAGGTGTTTTTAAATGTTCTGGGTGAACGATTTTTAAGATTCCTTCAACGGCGAGGCGAAAAGATATTGATATATGAGAAGCAGTGTTTCTTTTGTGTGTTTATATCCAAAT